TTATAATCGCCATTTTGTTATACCACAATGTCATCAAAACCCTAGCTTCACTCCTCTCTTCATTCCAATTTTGGTTGCTTAAGTGCTGTCCTCTTCCTCATTTTCCCACCACCCACTTGCGGCTGCAACCTCGGCACAGAAGCGCCATGGTATCTTTCTCTTTCTTGCTGTTATATATGTAAATCATTCATTACATATGTAAATTTCATTTATTACATATGTAGATTTCATTCATTACACATCTAAATCTTATTTATTATATATATAATTGTTTTCAGGCTTCAGAGAATAAATTATCGAACCCAATGAGAGATATCAAGGTCCAAAAGCTAGTTCTCAACATCTCCGTCGGTGAAAGCGGAGATCGACTCACAAGAGCGGCTAAGGCACGACTCATAAGTTGCACCATATTATTATTTCACTCTTGCTGTCTAGTCCTCATGTTTTAGGTTAATTTTATTGTCGTCACCCACATTCGCAGGTCTTGGAACAACTCAGTGGCCAAACCCCGGTCTTCTCCAAAGGTAGTTTCTGAATCTTACGCTGGGAGAGAATTTTCTTAGGAACTCTGAGATTTTGTTGGGAGAACCCAGAAGCTACATAGGAGTTAAAGCTTCAGGGTATTTTTTTTCTCAGTGACCAAATACTGGGTATTTTGATCAATTTAGTAGCTAGAGAAATGCCCTTGATGATTTTATTTCTTTCCCGGAAAATGATTTGAGCCAGGGTCGGTGGACAGGGGGTAGCACTCGGTCCACTTGATTCGGGGCAGCTCCTTAGCTAGCCCATTTTGATTTGAAGAGGTGGTAGACATCCAGGGATAGGAATTGCTCATTTCGGGTCAGTTCCTTGGCAGAGTGGATCCTGTAATCATGGGTAGTGGATTGGGATGGATGAAGCAATATTGGGATCTGTGCCGATTAATAAAATAAAAGCATGAACGATTACTTGTGACTACGAGAAGTGATGAAAGATTTCTAATTCTTTTCTTTTACAATAGTAGGAATGAGTTTTTATGCTCAATGAAGCTTAAATAAATAAGTGGCACTTGACTCTACCAATAATGAATTATTTTATAAGGATGGATTATGCTTCAATCTGGTATTCTTGATGTGGTCCTAAACATGGTACTTAAGACCTAGAAGCACTTGGAAATTTAGGCTAATAGTTCATTTTTACCTGCCAAATGTCAGTTTGGTGTTTGTATTTTCCTTTCTAATATGAGGATTTGAGAAAATGAAACTTCTGTTTGACTGACCCTGCTGCACCTGTTTTGAATTGGTATAGATTTTTCAGTTTGTGAAGGAAAGCTTTCCCATACCTTTCTTATTTTCTAAATTCATATACTTGATTGTTCGATGTGGTTTTTTATTATGGTTGACAGCGAGGTACACTGTCCGGTCCTTTGGAATTAGGCGTAATGAGAAGATTGCATGCTATGTAACTGTTAGGGGTGACAAGGCAATGCAGCTTCTGGAGAGTGGGCTGAAGGTGAAGGAATACGAGCTGCTGAGGAGGAACTTCAGCGATACTGGCTGTTTTGGCTTCGGTATTCAGGAGCATATTGATCTTGGAATTAAGTAAGCCGATGTTCTTTGCTGCTTCATTTCATAGGCTTCTATTTTGGATTATGTGCATAGCTACAGTGGAATTGTCATAAATATTTCAGTATTGGTAATTGTTATAAATTGAGAATTCCAAATTTCAAGAGGGTAGTTTTGGTGGTTGTTAAATTATAGTAATTTAATATGTTGAAAGTGACATCTGAGGATAACGTATGTGGAGATGAATTGGCTGTCTGAGTTCTGTTATTGGGATTTATGGACAAATATACACTAATCCAATTGTAATATTTGTTTTCAGCTGCAGTTCAATTTGTTTACGCAACATCAATGTGCTTTCTGGCTCTTTTCCTTGTAATTTGGTTTTAGAGCTAGCATGTTGTTATTGATATTTGAATATGTGCAAAGTGTGTCAAGTATCTATATGAAGTTAATGTGTTGTGTAAGAGCAATGGTGCATGCCAGTTTTTGATCTTAAATGTTAGTTTACTTTGTTGTGTTGTAATGTCTTTGCATTATGAGTGTTTGTTTTGGATCTCTGAATGTTTAAATAGAATCATCACACTTTCACATTTATGCAAGTATATTGTTTTTGTTTGTACCCATTCTGCTGGAGTTCTCTTTTGAAAGCTCCACTCCTTTCTTTATCTTTCGATTTTCTATCAGAAGATGGCCATAAAATAATATCCTTGTTTGCTTTAGACAACTGTATTATCGCTAAAGAACAGGCTGTTCTGCTGATTGAACCTACTTCCTCAGTTTCAGGTTCCAATTAAAGCAAGTGATCTATATTTATTATTTACACTAGTTTAAATCCAGTGAATTTAGCACATCTCCAAGCTTTTGACTATTGTTAAGAAATTGCAAGCAGAAAAATGAGTTTTGAGTACCAATTTTGTGTTGGGGTTGGTTCCATTGGTTAGAGAGAAAATAATGGTGGACAGTGAGAGCAATAGAAAGGGAAGTGATTTTCTTGGATCTATTTGATTAGGATCAAAATTTTACAGATAAGTTACTGGAAAATTTCTAAAAGTCTCTAAACTCCCCTCTCCTATTAAGTGCAAAGGAGATATTGAACACATTATTACTTAACAAAAGTGGTATTACGGAATAAATAATATATCTAAAAAACACTTTTATGCCTTAAATTTCTTCTTTGTCATTATGGACATGATCAGAGAATCACTTGGGTCAAAATATATAACTATGGAATTTAATAGACAACCTTGTCTCATTTGTATAATTTGTATTGATCTAAAACAGAAAAGTTGAGTACCAATTTATTCCTCCTTCAGTCCTATTAAACCTGGGAATTAACAATCATTGTAAATTGTCTGCCACCCTGCTTGCTTGCTACTGTATCACTCCTCGCCTAACCTTTTCTTGTAGGTCGATGTGCATTGCATTTTGATCGACCTTTGCACTTTGCATTTATATTTCTGATCCTTTGGTTAAAAGTTAAAACATTGGGGTGCCTGAGAATTAGGTGCAGCTGCGTGGTTGAGAAAGGAAATACATTGGAATGGTGCAAAATTTAATTTGTAAGAGTCAGTGTTGTGAAAAGTGAGCCTACATTAGAAGCAAAACAAAGCGAGCTTTGGTCGCTTTGAGCAGTCACGGCAAAGCGACGTTAAGTAAAGCGAGGAATCGAGCCTAAGTGACTAAGTGAATAAGCGAGCTAGATTAAAAAAGCGAACGCCTGAGTGCAATTTTTTTTATTTTCTCCCCCCTCCCCTTCTTTAACATCAATTAAACCCAGGCGGAGATGATGTTATACATGTATATATACAAAATAAATTGATTGATTACTCTCGCAGTATTATATGGTAATCTGTCTTATTATGATTAGATAATGTTGAATGTGTTATTTTGTAGTGAATTCCCTTGTTTATTAATTTGCTTTGTTAATTAAATTGATTAATTAATTTGCTATGTGTTCTATTTGATTAATCAATTTGTGAGGGCACTATTTAGTGGTAATATTAATGGTAGAAGTCAAACCCATATTTGCTATCTTTTCATTTAGATGACGTGATTATGTCAATTGATTATTTTTAGAGTACAAGAATGTTCAATATTTAATATGTTGTCTATTTAAAATATGTAGATGTTTATTATTTTGATTGCATTTAAATATTTTGTATTTGTAAACTTAAAACATGAATATTTAATATTAATCAAAGTATTAAACTAAAATATTTGTTTTTTTGGTATATTGTTCGCTTTGCTTTGATGAAGTGTTTGCCTCTCACCTAGGCCCTCAAGAGATCGGTTCGTTTTACTCCTTAAATAACACTAGTAAGAGTTATTGTAACACTTGTTGAAAGAATAGCAGTTGGGTTGGAGTGATAGATGTGTGGTGCCTATTTCAAAAATAAAGAGAAGGAAACACACGGGGCATTAAACAAATGTATGATAACTTGATTCATTGACAACTTTTTCTTTCTTTTTTCCGTGAATTGTGTTAAAAATTGATGCAAACTCAATTACTTCTACTCCAACCATTACTCTAACGTTGTGATCTGTTCAGCATCTTCACATGCTCAAAATTTGGTTTTGACCATAAACCTAATTATCATGGCAGCTTGTATATTTATGGCATCTCATTTTAGATTTGCTGATTGCATGCATCCATGTGGACGTTTTTTTCCTTGATCGTTCTTTCTTGTTGCTGTCTTTGTGACTGGACGTCTAGAAGTGCTGAGTCCCTTTGACAAAGCTAACATTGTGGTAAACCATGGTAATGTAATTTGCTTTCACACGTGTTATAGTAGGTTCACCTCTTAATTTTAAACCGTCATTTCTTAAGTAGGCAACATATGATATACTAAGTAGTCTTTGTGTGTCTCGGTTTCAATTTGTATGTGGTATTAGCGTGTGCTTGGATATGACCTTTTGTTAGGACATCTGGCACTATTCCAATGTGCATCATTCTCATTAGATTTGGTTTCATGCTTCTTGTTCCGTTCCAATTGTTGTTCTCCATCTTTTATGAAAATAGATAAAGCACTGACCAATATCTATGCATTTCATTATACTTTTTCCCCCTGCTCTATTCTTCCTTTTGTTTGATGTTTTCAGGTATGACCCTTCAACTGGTATTTATGGTATGGATTTCTATGTTGTCCTGGAGCGCCCGGGTTATCGTGTGGGCCGCCGTCGAAGGTGCAAGTCTCGCGTCGGAATCCAACACAGGGTCACAAAGGAGGATGCTATGAAGTGGTTCCAGGTCAAATACGAGGGTGTCATCCTTAATAAGGCCCAGACAATTGGTGGTTCTTAAGATCATGTATTGGTGTATCACTGTTTTTGGAAAACCCAGGTTTATGCTTTTGTAGACTATTATTACTCTTGAAATCTAAGTTTTGGGTAGTTGCAATTGTGTTTTCGGATGTCATATGTAGTACTCTGTTTTTCATTTTTTGAGATAATTCTCAGCTGGCCCGTTTTAGTGATTCACATTCTAGTTTATTATTTTTGTGAGAATATGTTGTTTGATGGTCCATTTTTCAAGCTTCCAGCACTTGTCTTCAAAATGATGGTGTGAAAGATTGACGAGGTGTGATTATTACTGAGGTTTTATGGAGTGAATATGGATCCTTGAACTTCGGCATTTTGTTGTTACTGATGCGCCCATTACAAGATACCTTTTGTTAACTCGTGGAAGACATCAAGTTTGTGTTGTCTAAGTCATGTTGTGTTATAATTTGTTCGATTTATAATGGTGTATAGTTTGGTTTATCTTCTGTTTAATTAGATTCCTATCTGTGTATTTACTAAAAGTATCTAGCCAGACAATTGAGCTTTTGATCAAACCGGGTTCGTTTGGGAAATTTATACCCAAAATAGGGTGGTTTTGAAAGTATTTTTCAAACCCAGTTAAGATTGAGGCGCCATTTGAATTGATAGTTTTAAGCATCTTAGCTATAACTTCGAAGTCAAAAATGTTAGTCAAATTGATGTTTTTAACTTCAAAACGACGTTTAGACTTATGTCATTTAAGTTAAAGATGTCACTTTTATGTTAGACTTTGCTTTTTAATATCTTTTCAAACCTAAATTTTTTCAAGCGTTAAATTTCCTATATTTTATGAGATGACAAAAAAGTGAGGTAAATTTTTTTGTCAACTATTCAAGTGCAGAGTACGTCTAATTTTTTTATTAAAATTCCCACAAACGGTTTTAAAGCTAATGTTAATAAATAATAGATTCATTTTT